ATGTGTTCACGTAAACTGCCCCTCCCTACAATACACCATAACTTATTTTTAAAAATTATTATCCGTCTTATTCTTCATTTGATCTTTATGGAATTCCTACTGTAGTTGTCAGATTGGCTCTTATCTGGGTATTACCAATTAATGAGATTTAAGAATATTAAAAGTATAAAAGCATGTTTTTCAAATGTACCTCTTGGCTGAATGGTCTTCTGTACACGCACTACACTCTCTATACACACACGTATGAGCTCACATGACTTTTACATACTTGCACAAACTCCCACTCATTCAAACCTGCTGACAAAAATACTTAGACATCCAAACATCAGGAAAAGAAAATGCACATTGAACCAAAGCAGACAGGTTAGTGCAGACAATGTATAATGTTCTTTTCACACATTGAGATTATTGTTAGATCTGTGATAGAATAGCTTATATATATTATGTGACATCAATGTCTAATTTATTTCTTGGTTCTTGTCTTTAAAAGCCTTTTGCTAAATTAATGTTATGGAGGCTTCAGATTAAACATATATAATATGAATGATGTAAAAAAAATGTAAATGAAAATCAATAACTTTACTGAACAAGAGATGTAAAATTAATGGTTTCTAATGTCACATCTTCATCAAAATTTTATATAACCATGATAAGGATATAGATTTGAAATTCATCAGTTACAGCTTGCTTTTTTAAGTTATTATCAACCTTCTTTCATATCTTTTCTGCAAGGTAAACATTACGAATATCACTCTTTTACACATTATTCCCATTAGGTTACATCAGTTTCTAATATGAAGTCTGATGTTTCCATTTAATGAACTCTTAATTCAAAGGTCTTTAGGTCTATTTTTGAAAAAAATATAGATAGACTACATGAAGACATATATACAGAATAATTCAAAGTATAAATATCCAGTATGTATGAACATTACTGGTAAGTGGAAAATGGAATCATATGGACAAGCACAGATGTTAAACATTAAATATTTTTTATAAAAAAAAGCTAGGAATAATAAAAAACAAAGGCAATCTGATACTTCTTTATGTGAAAGTAGTTAGACATATAGTCAGTGGAAATATGAAAATATAACATGGATGAGAAGAGAAATAAAAATAGGTGTAGACTCATAAATGTATTCTTTGGTCTATGACAAAAGATAAAATATTCATGACATGATTATGAGTAACATTTACAAAGCCAATGAATCGTAATTGATGACATCTATGGAAATACCTTAACAAAGCAAGAATCATCTTTTAGACCTTTTATTTAGATTTTCACCATGTCACTCCTTCCATATAAATCTGAACAATGTAAATTTCACTTGTTCCACATGAGATCAGCACAGATTCTCTGTGAAAGCCAATGGACAGTAACATAAGAATACTGCCCAGAAAATATAGCAATGCATTTCATCCAAATAGAGGCATTAAAATATATACAAATATACTCTGTACAGTATACATTGGCATAATGCCCCAACATATCACAGAAAAAATCATTTGAAAATTGTCTAAGAGTATATTTCAAATCAATGAAAGATTAAAATCATTACACATTAGCAAACACAGCAGCAAAAATCATGTCTCATTTTAAAGCTTTCCACCGACTGAAATAAATGAATACAGTATAGATTTGTTTAAAAATGTAAATAGCAGCTATAGAAACACATCACATGTCATTCACAATAATCATTTTTTTCATTATAACAGAGAAGCAGCATAATTGTGACTATTGTTACATAAAAATCGTACCTTATTTCAGATTCTTGAAGGACTATAAGTAACTGACATATCCCTAGTATTTTTGAATGATGTTTATTGTAAGCATTAGATATTTGAATTAAAAAGATTAAAATCAAACATACATAATCCCATTGTATATCAATTAAACATTCATGTATTAAAGTTTTCCTCTTAATCAATATCCATATTTTTAACACTATATTACCAATCTGATATGGGAGTAGTCCTGTATGTATATGTATATATATAAAAGTATAAAATAAACTATTCAATAAATGTATAAATATCATCTTTGGTACAATGATTTGTCTTGAGAACCGAGTTGCAATAACATGTCAAAGCATTCTAATGTAAATCAAATTATCCATTTTTTTTCTAATCTAGAAATACCAACATCTTTGCATCGCATTTTAATTATTTGCTTGAAACGATGAAACTGCTAATAACAGATGGAGAGGATCTTAAATCATAACATACCAGTTTGTTCCACTTTTTAAATTCATATCCTCTCTCTCTCTCTCTCATCATTAGGTGCATACAAGTTGCAAAAGAAAAGATACAACACATTTGCAATAGAATATAAACATTAAAGCTCATTAAACATTTCTAACTTAGTAAAATAAAATCATGATACCGCTTATCACATAACCCTTCATCGTTCATATTCAATTAAAAAAAATCAAAGTCTGTAACTGCACTATGGACTGATGACATTAACTAATATCTCATCAACCAAATAGGAAAAGGAAAG